CCAGGTTGGAGTACACCAGGGCGCCATAGGCGCGCGTGCCGACGGGCAGGAGGGCGTCCTTGAACGGACGGAGGAGCTCGTAGATCAGTGCTTGGGGAGTACCGTCACCGACGACGGTTTCCTTCTTACCGGACACGGCCTCGCTGATAGCCCGTCCAAAGCGCTCGTAGCTCTGCTCAAGCTGGTCTTGACGCAGGGTGCGGGGAGGGGGTTCGTGGCGCTGCTCAAGTTCGACGTCGGACGGGTCTTGAGAGTTGAAGCGAACGGTGATCACGGTCTGGGAGTAGTCCTGGAACAAGACGTAGATGTCCCGGGTGACAATAGTCTTACCAGAGTGGGGGTCAGACGCGGTAGACTCCTCAGACTCAAAGAGGATGTCCTTGCGTCCGTGAAGAGGTGGGGGGAGGCTCTTGGGCTGTAGCCACCAAGTCGACTGGCTGGCCAGGTCGATGTCGTTAGCAACGAAGCCTGATTCCATTGATGGCCGCGTCATATCTACAGATCGCCGCAAATTTGAACGCGGGGTATCCATCGACTGCCGGGTCGACGGGCGGCCACTACCGGGCGGCGCCGGGGGAGGAGCCCTTAGATTTTGAGGGGTCCCGTGGAAAGGGGTTTCAGGAGAGTATGGTTCAGACGGGGGCGAATTAGGCAAAGGGAAGGACGGTATCGACGATGATCCGTGAGTCGGCGAAGAGTAGTTGTAAGGGTCGAAGTCTCCTTCCCCGTATCGAGGCATCTCTTGCGTCGGAGGAGGCGGAGGGGCCGCGCGTGGCACGTCGACAGACTTGCGGCTTTCTAGTGGAGACATGAGTGGAACAGGAGGGGGACCGGCTCTCGGTGGTGATGTCGGGGGAAGAGGAGGTGGGCGGGACATGGGCGAGCGTGGCGACGCGGGCCCGTCAAAACTCGTATCACGTTGATGAGACTTCAGCGCATCCTTATGAGGAACAGAGGAAGCAATGTCCGTATCGTAATCCCCTTCGTACTCGGTAATCTCTTCTTCCACTTCTTCATTCTCATGCCCCCTTCCAGGAGACAAATGCTGGCGTTGATGGAAAGTATCCGTAGTCGGTGTTCTTGGTGGCGCTGCCGGGGGAGGCGGGGGAGGAGCCCGGCTCACCGGGACCATGCCGGGAATCGGAGGAGGCAAGCGACTTTCACGCTTGGCTGACGGTGAAGCAGGGGGCAGCGGAGGGGACCGAGGTGATGCCTCGTAATACGACTGGCGTCTGCCGTGCGAAGCACCAGGCGAGGTTGGGGGTGACACCGGGGGAGGAGGCATCTGCGGTGTCGGCGGAGCAAGAGCCGGAAGGGGCGGCGGCAGAGCCCGAGCTGTATGCGATGTCTCAGCAACGCGCGGAGTATCAGACTCCTCCTGGGGCCTTTCCGAGAGCTCGTCATCCGATGCAGAGCCTTCACTGGGCGAGTTTGTGGCCGATGCAGTCGGGGGCGGGGGAGGCGGACGGGCTGAACTCAAGTTAGTAAGTCATTTACAGTCATCATCACCGGAGAACTTTACCTTCGGTAGGAACGGGGGGAGGAGCTGGTCTTCCACCAGGAACAGGAGGCGGTACCCCGGGGTCCCTCGAAGGCACTATCATTCGAGTTAGTATCGTGGCGGGCAAGGCTGCCAAGTGTCTCTGAGACTTACAAGACGGAGGAGGTGCCTGATACGGTGTTGGCGCCTCACTTTCCTCTTCTTCCTCTTCCTCCTCTTCAGACACGGGCTGTTCCGGTTCGGCCTGCTGAGGAGGACGAGTGGGCGGCGGCGGCGCATGCAAGGGCGAACGGGGCTCCTCGACTTCGGGGGAACACACGGGTTCCGGTGCCCGGGACATACCAGGGAGAGCCATCATGGTCGGGATAGGAGGCGCACGCTGGACCGGGGAAGTGGGCTGTTCTTCAGATTCCTCCACCTTCTCAGGAACAGGCTTCTTCTTCTTGGGCAGCATAGGAGGCGGGCCGCCGAAGAGGGAGATGCCCGGCATTCCGGGCAAACCCATGCCGCCAGACATCTTGGCCATTCTAGCACGCAATTCCTCCCTACGCCGGATCTCCGGGTCAACCTCTTCTTCTTCCTCTTCTTCTTCTTCCTCCTCCTCCTCGTCTTCTTCGTCCTCTTCCTGCGCAAGCTTGGCATCTTCCTGCTTAGCGGCAGTAGCAACATGCTTGTGCTCTTCAACCTCCTCCTTTTCAGTCAGATCTTCTTGTCCCTCCGTTGTCTCACCGGCGCCAGACAAGTCGGCCTCGTTGCCATCATTGGGCTCGACACCAAAGTTTGACTTGCGCCTGGGCGCTGGCGCGCGTGGGTGGAGGGCCTCATCCACCGACTTTCTTACAGTTTCTTCGGTGTCCTGTCTTTCGAGGGGTACCGCGGCGGGTTCGCCCTCCTCGGCGGCTTCGTGGGTCTCTAACTTTTTCTTGACGGGCTTCTTGGGCTTTTCCTTCTTGGCCTCATGTCGAGCAGCCGTCTCCATCTGCTGCTTCTGCAGGAGGGCCAGGCGCTCCTTGAGACTCAGCGGCTTCGGCTGTTCCTCCTCACCTTCTCCCTCGTTCGAGGCAGAGGCAGAGGCAGGGACGAGACCTGCTTTGGCAGCATTCTCTTGGGCTTGAGCCTCTTGTTCCCTGATCTCCGGATCTTCGTCACGGCGATAGATCTTGGCAACGGGGGCTTGCTGGGGAGGAGGAATGTAAGCGTTCCTACTGGGAGGAGGCGCAACAAAGGGCTTCTTGATGAAGTTGGCACCAGAGCTCAGACCGGTAGGCTTAAAGGGGGCAGGGGGAGGGGCCGCAGCTTTGTTGAAGGCAGCAATGCGATCCTTGAAGCTCGAGGGTTTCTCTGCGACGGGGGGAGGGCCGCTGGGCTTGGATGGCTGCTGCTGCTGCTGTTGTTGTTGTTGTGTAGGGGCGGGCTTGGGAGGTGGAGACGTCACTCTCGGGGCTTCGGCAGGCGGCGGAACTGCCTGCGGAACTGGCGGCGGAGGGGCGGATGCCTGCGGGGGCGGAGCGGGCTTGGGGGCCGGGGGTTCGGCAGCTGGTACAGGTACAGGCGGAGGGGCGGAAGCAACAGGAGGAGGTGATGGCGAGCGCACGGGTTCAGGAGCAGGCGCAGGCTCCGGGGAGACTGCTTGCTCGGGAGCGGCGACATGCTCAGGCTCCTGCTTGGCAGCACGGGTTGGTCTTGTTGGGCGGGGCGGAGCTTGGGGTTCGTAGCGTTCGACGAAGTTGCGAGGGAAGATGCCCTCTTGCTTGACACCGGCCTCGTCGACGTATTCTCCGCCATACCAATCGGCGTCCTCCTCATCGGTCACGGTGATGATCTGGCCGGCGGGGAAGTTGAGATCGTCCTCGTGGCCCGAGGCGTACTCGAAGATGGCCTTGACTTTGAACAACGACATGATGATTCTGCAGTTGGGAAATCAACCCAAGCGGTCGGAGTGTCGTTTGTGTCGAAGTCAAGGTAAGATCGGAAGGGAGTTGCGTGAGTGGGTGCGGGGCGGTCCCTGCGCAGGAGGCAGCAGCAGCAGCAGGAGAGAAATGTAAGTAAGCTGCAAACAGCGTCAGGTCGCACGAGTATTAGTTGGTGGAAGCAAAACGGCAGTGTAGATGTTGGATGATGTTAAAGTGGTCTTGTTGAAGCGCGGATGGACGGCGACAAGGCGAAGCCCATGTGTTGAAGATTCGGTTGCCGGAGACCCGCCACTTTTGATGAAGCTTGGAGTGGAAGTTGAAGAGAGAATCGATGGTTTCGGTCTTGTTGCAGTGAATCAGGCCCTGAACGGGATAGGTGACGCGGGGGGGAAGAAGCACCCGCCTCACACCTCGAGCGGAAGTGGAAGCAGCAGTGACAGCACAACCGAAGTGGCAGCATGCCGGGAGCAGGGCACCTGGGGGCCGGACGACCTGATGCAAGTGCAGGCAGCGGCATTGAACGCATCAGGCGCTAGGCGGGCACCTCTCTCGCTGGGTTGGACAGTGCTACTACCTCCCGTGGGCTCTATAGCCACAACCTACTGCAGATCGACTGGGCCGTCCCTGTTGTCGCACTGGGGGGCAGCATCAAGCGTGTTCCAGGTTTCCCGGCACTTCAACAGTGTTACTGCGCTGCCATGTTTACGCTACCTACCTCCTACTTTCGTCCGCCTTCTTTTCTTTGATGGTCACCCAAAGTCATATGAGCCCCTCTCGTGAAATAGCTATTTATGAGATGCTACAAGGTCTCTCTGCTTTGCGGTCTTGTGACCGAGGATGCAATGCCGCAATGTGTTCAACGTACTTGGACAGTCAAGGTAAGATAGGCTGATCTCACTACCTCAACACAGCCGCTCCAGCTTCTTCGACGTCAGCACTTGTAGTGCACCTACTGACTATCCAAGTACAGTATGGGGCAATTTATGCACACTTTACCTCGACACTAAGCACATCTTCTTTCAATTGCCCCCGACATTGCGGGAAAGGAATGAATGTGTTGAGGCCGAGCATGATGAACCAAGTAGTATAGAAACAGGAGGTTCGAGATGCACACATGCACATTAGTACGGAAAGAGCTGGGATCATGGCTTAGACCAATGCGATGGATGATGCAACTTGTATCAACAATCTATGTATTCCCGTGGTTAGCGTTTCTTTGCTGTGTACTGTAACATGTTACCCCCAAAGAGTGAGATGAAACCGCAGGCCATGTGCTTCTTAGTTCCAAACATCGCTTTCATCTTGTCAATGCCGGGAAACACAGGCAATGCTTGAGCTTCCCCATCGTCCATCATCTTCGTGAAGCCACCGTATCCTTCATGGGAGAACAAGAGAGCACTGCCCTCCCCGATGCTAGGCATAAGACATGGGTTGCTCCGCCTTTTCTGAGCTCTTCTGTGGAGGCAGCTCAAGATTACGCGTGGGGCTCATTTAGGTACTTACCTACCTTTACTGTATTGCCTGCCGGGACAGGACCTTTGTGTGATTTTATCTTATCGGCCATTCCATCATCGCATGGAAGCTTTTGGATGTTTTCAAACAAAACGACTTGAACATTGCCTCACAGGACCATCAGCAACAAACAAACAGCCTGCGACCACAGCCATAAAAACTCTCCACCGACCTCCCAACCCAGTTCAAACTTTGCCCACGCTATCCAGTAAATAACACCACCTAAACACCAACCCCAAGATGTCCCCTCCCCCACCAGCCTCCAAACCACCAAAATCCATCCTCAAAAAAACCACCCACCCAACAACCGGCTTCTCCCAACTACCTTCACCTACCGAACCCTCCAACCAGCAACAGCAGCGCGACTTCATCTCCCCCGGCTCCCTCCCCATCTCCTTCCCCGACCTATCTTCCCTCCCCACCGAACAGCGGCTCGCCCACGAACAAGCCCTCCTCCTCCAACGCCTATCCCAAACCGAGCTCAAGCCCGCCATCCCCCTCGAAACCATCGAGCTCCTCTCCTCCTCCTTCCCCACCCAGCGCACGCCTCCCGCCTTACACCCTCTCAACCACCAGCCCCTGAGCGCCGCCAACCCCCACCCCGACGATGCCCGTCAGTTTCTCAAATTGGTAGCCGACTTCACGCCGCGGGAATACCTGGAGCTCATCGAAGAGCGCAACTGTCTGGGTGCGTGCGGGTACGTGCTCTGCCCGCGGAAGAGGAGGCAATATGAGGGAGAGTACAAGATCATTATGCGGACGGGCAACATTGCCAAGACGGAGGACCTGAACAAGTGGTGCTCGGATGCGTGTGCGGTCCGGGCGCTGTATGTCAAGGTGCAGTTGGATAATCCGAGTTATATGACGGATCTGGAGACGGGGAAGAGGGTGGTCAAGGTTGAGTTGAGAGAGGAGGAGGAGAAGAAGAAGAAGCAGCCGTTTGGAGAGGAAGAGAAGGCCAAGGACAAGGCAGCGACAAGTATCACAGAAGCGGAGGAGAAAGTCGCTGCTGATCTGGCGAGACTGGACCTCAATAGGAAGGCCGAGATTTCGGATAAGGCTGCGCAGATGCAGAGAGACGCTGACGCTTTGGCGGTTGAGAGAGGCCAGGGTAGCGGGAAGCTGGATAGGCTGCTAGCCGGTCAAGGTGTTGAAGTGACGATCCGGGAGAAGCCAACGACAGGTCCGGCAAAAGCACCGGATCATATAACGGCGTCCTCTACGGCCCGGAAGAAGAACCCGCAGGATGCCCATCATATGGTTGAAGGCCATAAGCCTAGGTTTGGCACTGATATCAAGAGCCAGGAAGCTGCAAAGAAAGATGGCAGCGAGAGCGAAAGTGAAGATACTGATGAGGACGATGATGACATTAACGACTATCTGTCGGGACGCATGCAAATATCCATGTAGTCCAGGCAAGACAGTAACAACGCTAGATTGTAGAACCTGCGCAGAACCTGGCCAGACATAGCATTTACAGATGACCAATCTTAATAGATACCCACCTTGAGTCTACTACAGAGTTCGTTGGGCCAACCAAGAACGTAAAGCCTACGTAGTTTTCTATACCCAGACGGGCGTTTGATGGCTGTCCAAGTGGCGGACTAGACAAGCTGCGAGTTAGCATATCACCAGAACTGGGAGGTACCTTGATGGCGTTTGACCCAAAAACCGAGGCGGAAGCAAACTCCCCTCCTGGCACTTGTGCCGAACCACACCATCCAAGTCCCAACCCTGTCCCTCACAACAATCACCACATAGCATATATGGCACCACAATCCCATGCGAGGACGGGAAGAGAATTGGCAATCAAGCGTCGTCCCCGGCATTACACCAAGAGAGTCAGCGACACCTTTTGTGGGCAAACAGATCGCATTTGGTTTCGCAGATGTGACCTAATGATGCTCATGCTACCCTGTTCCAGATAGACACCGAACACCAACCCAAGTAGGACCGACACCACCGTAGTGCATGATCCAACGCCCGATTTCCATTATTATTTTGGTTGTCGTCGACCGGGTGACATTTAGTCGCGGCGGGGACGGTCGCCGAAGCGGCGGCCGCGCTCGACAGGCTGGGCCTGGGTGACGGGGATGACGTTGACGGGGATGGAGTCGAACTGTTGGGAAAGAAAAAAGAGACAAGTTAGACAAATTAAATCCTTACCATGGCTTCATGCGCGCAGGAAACTAGTGATGGTTGGGATGGTGAAGGAAACTTACGCCGAGGTGCTTGAGGAGGTCCTTGGTCTCGGTGTCGACGTCGAGCTGACCGCTCTCGGAGTTCTGGGTGAAGTCGAGAGCAGAGACCTCGGGAACGTACTGGTCCTTGCGCTCACGCTCCTCCTCCTGCAGCTTGAAGGAGATACCGCGGACGGGGCCACGCTGGATACGCTTCATCAAGTGGGTGGTGTAGCCGGCAATCTATTTTTGTCCAAGCATGTTAGATCCTCCTTCTGCCTGTCCTTCTTCCCGGGTCCTTGTATAAACCCTCTCCCGGTTCGTGACAAAAACGCACCTTGTTGCGGAGGCGCTTGGAGGCAATGATGGCGATCTCATCGCAGATGCGCTTGTTGGTCTCGAAGTCGAGGGTCAACTTGGGGTAGTACCGCTCAATGATGACCTTGGCGGACTTCTTGACAGTCTTGGTACGAACGCGACCCATTTTGCCGGCTTTGCTGCTGCTTTGCTGCTGAAGGAGGGGAGTTGACGGGTTACGTTGTCAAGGACAAGAAGACGTGAACAAACACCAAGTCGAACTTTTTTGGTCTGGCAATATCCGGCGGGTTGTGGGGTCAGTGCACGCCCAGGTTTGGCGTTAGGGCACGTACTGAGCCTCATGTGGCTGAGAATCGTCGTGGCTGAGTGATCATGGTCCGCTCGGCACGTGACCCCCATTGTTTACACCCAGTGTTGCCCCTGAACCGATCGAATGCTTACAGTACAAAGGCAGTGACACTCACTTACCCTAAGACAACTACTCAGCTCTCGATCACTAAGATTTAAACAATGTCAACGCATCTCATCGTGGGAGGTTTTCATGAACCGGTCTATATTTACAGCTTAGAATGTTACAATGGACTGTCTGTTTTATGACTGATTTGAGAGCGGTGATAAGTATGCCCATCAGTAATTTACACCTACACGGCCTGCGAAGATCCCAACCGCGTCCCTTCAGTCTTCTTGCCAGATTTTGGGTATCTCATTGACTGCTCACCGCGAAGCATTCGTGTCCCCACTTCTGCTTGTCGGCCGATTTACCGTAAACCATATCCAGACGAGCCCGACATGGTAGGTGATGAGGGCGAGTCAGAGTTCTCGTATCTGCCCCTCAGCCTTGCAGCAGTCATAGGGATCTTCTTGAAGATCTTTTCCTGGCGCTTGGGGGCAGAGCCGAAGATGGGTTCACGGGCTTCGCCAATCAATTCTTTGGCGATGAGAACATCCGTCGCCTTGGCATCACTAACAGTCAGCTGTACGCGGCCAGTCGAGTCGACCGTCGCCTTGTCAACGTTGACCCAGAGCTTGGCACCGCCCTCAATGCTGGGATCGAACTTGTCCATAACGGTGTTGCCCCTCAGGTTGCTGTGGCTTGTGCCAAGTGGTCCATCGGCGACGAAGCCAGCAACGCCAATCTTGGCATCGTTTCCAAGACCTCCCTTGCGCGGCTTGAGCACTCTAGCCTGGACGGGCGGGTGGCTCTTCTGCGGACCGTAAATCGGGTGGTTGTTGAGGTAGGCCGCAGTACGGAGGTATGAGATACCGGCCGAGGGGTGGGTGATGGGAGGACCGCGTCCACCGTACGGGCTGTCGGTTGCGCGCAGGTTGACCATCAAGGAGTGTTGGCGCGCTTCAGCAGCCTGAGGAGGCTTGAGTGGTGCGAGATCCAAGAACTGGCCGACCAAATCGTAGAGTACCTGGTTATCGTTGCGCAGGCGGCGCAGGTACTCGGTCACCTCGTCGTCCGTGATAGACTCCGGCTTGAACGGCTCTTGTGTCTCCGCAACCGCGTCACCCCTCAAAGCAGCCGTCTCCTGAAGCTCCCTGTTTGCGGCCTCAGTCTTCTGAGCCGCAATCTTCTTCTGAATGAATTTGCGGAACTCGGCGCGCTTGGGTCTGACGGTCTTGGCGAGGTAATCCTTGAACTCGCCGGGGGTCATGCCGGCCAGCCAAGGACCGCTGAACTTCCACCTCTTTTCGGCTTCTTGGATTTGCTCGTCGGTGCTGAAGGCAGTCACATCGGTATCGGCCTCGAAGACGGACCGCTGGACGGGGCGGAAAAGTCGGGAGGGATCGCTGATTTCGGATGGTGTGCTGATCGGGATGTTCAGGGCTTGGAACTTCTTGAGCGTGAGGCCGTGTTGGGTGCCGGAGGTGAAGTCGGTAATCTGTTCGAGCGAGTCCATCTCCTTGACCTTGACCATGGGATACGTAGTGCCGGTAGTTGACTTGAGGGGGAGCGGGCGCTTCAGACCCCAGTCTCCACGAGAGCGGGAGGATTCAAAGGTGGTAAGGACCTGGTGAGTCGGGTATGCTTCGGTGGCCGAGGCTCTCTCGCTAATCATCTGAAGCTTGTTGCCGGGCGGAGGGGGGATCACTGGAGGCAGCGAAAACATGCGCGAGGTACGGAGGAGCGCGCCTCCGGGCGACACACCCCGGGAGGAAGCCATTGTGTATTCGAGGTGCCGTCGAGATGCCGGTGGCTTCGGTTGGCGGGCGTCGAGGTTCGGCGCGGCTCGTGGGGACGTTGATCGCCGTGATGGAGGACTTGAAGTCCGCGAAAATTCAAAGCTCGGACGTTTCTGTTGCTGTCGCATACGCATATTGGCGCATTGGCCAGGCGGGCCGGGTTGCTGGGCCGGTACGAGCGGGGCCGTAGGATAGAGGCCAAGCAATCACCATCTACAGCCCTAACCCTGAATCTTCAAACGCAAACACAACAGTACCTACTTATAAGCTCAGCCAGCAGGTGACTACACATGCACATTTGCTTGTAGACAATCACTCATCATACGGGCAAGCAACAAGAAGGAAAGTGTGGAGAGTTTGAACCAAGCTCCAAGCGGCCTCAGCTTTCAAACAAGTCAATACCTACGTTCTTCAGAGCGTTTACAGCCCACGACGGGTAGCTCTTTCTATCTGGGTACAGGTTGTTGAAGAACTCCTTAACAAAGGCCGGGAACTTGTCGGCAATGATAGCGTCCCTGGCACCTCCCATGAGATGCAGCTGATACCACACGTTGTGTATGGTCAGCAGATGTGCTGCCACCGTTTCCTTGGCCGAATTGTGATGTACGAACGCCCTTGTGACGCCAATGGCTCCCTCTTGGTCGACAGGCCTGCAGCATGGGCACCCACAACCGTCCTCGATCGGCCCAAAGTCCTTGGCATATTGTTCCTTCTTCATGTTGAGCACACCGTGCTTTGTGATGGCATTGCCAAACCGCGCCGTACGTGTGGGCCAAACGCAATCGAACATATCGGCCCCCAAAGCAACGCTGACGACCAGGTCTTCGGGGTAGCCAATACCCATAACATAGCGAGGCTTCAAGTCGGGAAGAAGCTCTGTGCATGTAGCCACAACGTTGCAGAAATCATCCTTGGCCTCACCACCACTGAGACCTCCGATGGCGATACCTGGGGTGTCGCGAGCCACCATCTCGCGGCAGCATTCCCTGCGCATCTCTAGGTCCAGACCACCCTGAATAATACAAAACAGATTCTGGCGGTCGGGATTCTTGTGGGCCTTTATGCAGCGATCCAGCCAGCGTACACTGCGCTCCATGGCCTCGCGCATACGGGCCTTGTCCGGGTGGGTGGTCACCAAGACGTCATCAAGCTGCATCATGATGTCGGATCCAATCGAGTTTTGAAGGCTCATTGAGTGTTCGGGGGTGAGGAGCATGGGCGATCCATCGTGGGGAGAGAGGAAGCGAACGCCTTCTTCGGTAACCTTGGCGAGCTTGAGGAGAGATACCATTTGAAAACTGGAGGAGAAGCCGGGTCAGCGATGCGCCGGCATTCGTATGCATTGGTTATGACAAGGAGGCATACCCTCCACTATCCGTCAATAGGTTGTGCTTCCAGCCCTGAAGTTTGTGAGCGCCGCCAACGGCATCAAGGACCTCTTGGCCAGGCTTCAACCCTAGATGGTAAGTGTTGTTGAGGCAAAGTCGGCATCCCGTACCCTCAAGCTGTTCCGGGGTGATGCCCTTGAGGGAAGCCTGAGTAGCCACAGGCATGAAGATGGGGAGGTTGACGGGTCCATGGGGAAGAGTCAGGATAGAAGCGCGAGCCCTTGTTGTCTAGGTTCAACGCGTGTGTTAACGTTAGTGACGGAAATCCATTGCGGTTCGTTTGGCGATTGCGACAGCTTTGCGATGGGTGCGGAACCGGATCCTGATCCCACTTATTCGGACGGGACTTGATATCCAGCTGCTGTATGGAGACCTGATTCCCAGCCTTCGGATTCCAGAAGAACAGACGATCTTCCACTTACGGAACATTTGGCGACCAGCTCGAAAGTGAGCGCAGCCGAGGAAGCCTTGTTTGAAGCCATTCTGTGGACAATCGACATTCTCCGCAGCGAGGAGGAGTAGAAGAAAAGGCAGGCAACTCAGGTCCCTCACGAAGTGAATGCAGAGAACTGTTTGGGGCCTGCACGCATGCACATCAATTGGAGAAAAAACATCATGGACCCTCAGCTCGACCCCACACTTGACAAGTCGTGTTGAAGCATGCGCTTCCCTTGGCGGGCCTGGCGGGCCTGGCGGGTTGGCGGGGCATCTCCAAGACACTTCCTTCAGCTCCGTTCAGGGTCCAGGCCTGCCCGCTCTACCCGATCCCAGCGCTGCCCGATTCTGCGCTAGAGGAGAGTGCTCCACCCTCCGATTTTGCGACGTAGGCATCAGAACGTTTCCTAGGTACCTAGGGTATCATCCATCATCATATTATCTCGTGAAAGTGCAAACAATGGGGGTCGCCAAGTATTCACTTTGTAGTGTTTGCATTTGGGTATTCGGTGCACAACTACACGGAGCACCTCCCATGTATGTACATGTAGTGTAGGCTATGTAACCTAAAAGAGGAGTGCGCTTTGGAACCCCGGTAACTGGGTATAAGTGTTCTCCCCACCAAAATCAATCCCCTTTATATGCAAATACTAGCTGAAGTAATTGCATTTTGCTGGCACTTTAGGAGGGAGGTATTTTCAGGGGTTGATATTTTTAAGTGTATGTATCAACGAGATCAGACAACTTCCGTTTCTTGGCATTTTCAACTGTCATACGACTTTGGACCAAGCACATTCCGACTTTTTGCTGATTTTTTCCAACGCACAAAGCGATTCATCTCACATTGCCGTGTGTGCGCTAGACTCGACGCAAAGATGCAATTCCCCTATCCACGGCAATGGAACTGTCTTTTCCTCTGTCGCGGTTGCATTGTAGGGACGGGGGACGCACGGCAGCCCAGGATATCTTCACCCCAATGGACCGAGATAAGTCCCTTGTTTATACCAGCCAACGTCTGGATAAAGACAAAGATCATCATGCCCAAAGTCGGGAGATCTTCCCTGAAAGTCTGGGTTGGCCAGTTGACCAGCACTGGGCGGCGATGATGTGTTTATCGCTGATCCGTGCGGCGCGTTACCCTCTCTGTTCCTCGTTTACACATGGACTTCGGGTCATCAAAGGAACTTGAAGTTAGTGTCAATGACGACGGTCCGGGCATTCCATTGTTGGGCCATCCAGACTCCCAGACCGTCACAGCGCAGGGCCTCAACTCGTTCAATCGTGGCATACCAAACAACATGACAATTGAAAACGGTCTATAATAGTCAAACGCCCATTGCTGTCTAGGCTCGGACTGCCCGTCTCATTGCTCGCTCCTTCATCACTCCGGCCAAGGCTGCCTTCATGCCCAACCCTGGCGATATCCATTGACTCCAAGCACTAAGGGGATTGGCGAGAATGCACCGGCTTCAATCCCCACTAAACCTTATTCTAGAACGCAAACGGTTTTGTTTCGATGGTGTGTTGTTAAGTCGGGGTTTCGAGTCCCGTGCTCGTCATATCTTCCTTGGGTTGACGCGGTTCTATTGTACTCTTATTATAACCTCCCGTCTCCCCTCTTTCTTCTTTCCATCTTCGAATTCTCGTCTCTCTATCCTCTAATACTCATCACTTCCACAAGCTTCGTCATACCACACTCCTCAGTGATGCAATCAAACAAGTCTTGTAACAGACAAATAAACCTCATATCCAACCTGAGTCACAAACATCGCCATGGACGAAATCACTCCCACCACTTCCACCGCCCCAAATACCTTTACCCTCTTCCCTCTCCTCCCTACTGAGCTCCGTCTCGCCATCTGGCAAGCCTCCTGCCACTCTCGCATCCTCGAAATCCACTACTGCCCCTCCCAAGACCGGTGTTTCACCCCCTCCAAGCCGCCCGTCATCCTCTCCGTCTGCCGAGAATCCCGCCACGAAGCGCTCTCGCGCATCTACGCCAAAGCCTTTGGCACACGCACCCACCCGTCCGGATCCATCTACTTTGCGCCGGATCTAGACATCCTCTACATACCGCGGTACTACGAAGAGGAAGGGGACTTCCATCGTCATCACCAAAAAAGGAAAGCAGCACGCGGCGAGGAAGAAAAGGAAAGGACTAGGAGGATCATGTCCATGGGCTACAGCGAGACGGCACGCGATTTTGATCGGTACGTCCTCAACACCACGGAGCTGGTGAAGAATCTGGCCATCGATCATGTCCGACCGGAGATCAGGCGGCCGTGGGAGACGTATAGCAAGTTTTGTCTGATCAGAAGCTTTCCGAGGTTGGAGAGGGCGTTTTTGATTTTGGATAATACCACTGCCACTACATCATCGGCCACCACCACCGCCGCGGCAACGATAACCATCTCCACGGGGGACAACAGGGTAGTAGAAGAAGGAGTGGAAGACGGGGAGGATGACGAGGATCAAATCGAATTTATCGACCCCACCGAAAGCATGGAAGAAATTACGCGGTTGATGGAGAACGTAAGCGCCTCATTCTCCCATGAGGTCGGGGTGGGGGTTACGACTCGGTTTGAGGAGAGTGGCAGTGGAAGGGGAAGTGACGATCATAGGGCCCAGCAACCACGTCTTGATTGCTGCTTGAATCATGCATCAGGTGGGCACGGCGGTGATGACCTGGCTTTGATACCGAAGACTAAGGTTCATCACCATCATCCTAGCCATCATGCCCCGTGGCAGAGTCATACGTCGTCGTTTGTGGCTTGTGCATGAACTTGGGATTTGCGAGTGAGAAGAAGAAAAGGGGGGAGTAATGCGTTACGAATGGTATATGACTATGGGTAATGAGCAAAAGCGGTGATTCATGATTTCTCTTTTCCTCATTTTGAGCGTCTGGTCAATAATCACAATGCATTTCAATGGTTGATTACATACAGATTCTTGACGGGACACTCCAAACTGGACAGGTCACTGGAATCGATCGTGATCTGACTGTCAGTGTCATGGGGCCCCAAAACCTAAGGATACATTACATGCATCGGGAAAAAGAGTATTTCTTGCCATGATTGTCTTTTTGTTTTTTTTTTTACCTAATCTTTCTCAAACCATCACCCACACGGCCCTTACGGTACAGTACCTACGTACAATTCCGCCTTTTATCCCGTCCCATTCCATCGTATCCCGTCCCTTGGCTCTGCCCTTCTACTACCTTGGTAACCACCGCACCCGCACCATCTAAAATTCGGCAC